CACAAATGAATAGCAGGTTTAGACTAGCATCGTGCACCCATTATAACCTGCCACTGGGCCTAGAGGACTTCACATACTCTATCCCTTAGACTTTTTCTCCCCTAAAATTATAGAAGAACCAACGTGATCTTGGCTCCACTTCACTGCCCACTTTTAAATTCTCCAAAATGTGACATTGTTTTTTGTTAAGAGTTTCACTGTTTGTCCTCATAATCAAAAAGGAGGAGGATTTTTTTTTAAAGGGAAAGAATTAAAATGCTTTGAGAAGTGGTCTTTAGCTTTGACTCTCTGCATCCTTCAGAGATGCTAACTTTAGCCTTCCACTTTTACCTCTGAGGTAGAGCCCCTCAACCCGCTTTCTTTCTTCTTTCTGGTCATGGTAAAAGGCCATGTGGATCTTGTATCCTGCAAAGTTACCTCTTCCTGGCTTATACCACAATTAAAAAGTTAGTCAATCCAGGGAACATGGTGGCCTCAAGTAGTTGGTCAGCATATGTTATGGCCTCCATATGTGGATTATAGACAGCATACTGCGCTTCTGCCTATCAATTCATCTACTCATTCTGCGAAAGTTTATTGAATGCTAATTAGGCGCCAGACACAGTTCTAGGTGGACAAAAATATAAAAAACAAAGATCTTTGACCTCACAGAGTTTACACCCTCGAGGAGAAAGCAAGACAATAAACACATAAACAGATGCCACGTGGTGATAAGTACTCTGGCAAAATATAAGCCAAACAAGGGGGATTACTATTTTGTGTAGATCATGAGGAAAAACCTGCTTATAAGCCAATGTTTGAACTAAGACTTGAAGATGTGAAAACAAAACAAAAGAAAACAAAAACTTCTACCTGAAGTCTAATGATATCAAGTGACTGTGAACAAGGAAGTAGGTAAGAAACTAATAAAGAAGAGTCCATTCTAAAGCCACTTCTTCAGTGTGAAGGCAGAAGACCAAGGCTAAATAGATATCTCTGGAATGACAGATTAAGAAAGATCTACCTCTAATTAGGCAACACGTTTACAAGGATGAGTTCTCAGTTAGTGCCTTTTAATTTTAATGTGTGCATGAATCACCTAGGGTTTTGTTAAAATATGGATTCTGATTCAGCAAGTCTGAGGTGGAGCCTGAGACCCGGCACTAACAGATTCTCAGGCGATGCCGATGCTGTGGTCCACAGACCCTATTCCAAGTGACAAGGTGCTATCAGATGAGGAATCACTTGGGTGGAACTATTCTTTTACTTTGTGTTGTAACTATCCTCAGTAAATGTAGATTATATGACCACTTGACATTGAGGAACAAAGTATTAGGAAGAACAAGAAGGAAGCTAACCACTATTTCAAAACAGGCTCATGTGTGCCAGCAACAGTGCTAGTTACCTCAGATATGCTGTTTTATAGACTTTGCTAAAAGGCACTGTGAGACTCTTGATTGGATGATGGATTTGAATGTGCAGAGACAAGCCTTATCGTAATAACTGTATTGTGATTCCTGAGGGGATAGGAAAATAAGTAATAAAATGTGTCATTGCCCATTATTAAAATACATAATTATGAATTATAATGATGACCTTTTAGTAGAATGGCTATTGTACTAAAGGTGGCAGAAACTAAAATCTATGTTTTTGAAGTTCTTTTCTTACCAATATCATGGTCTCCTTGGGAGTGGAGTTTTAAACAAGACCAAAGAGGCATCGGTATAAATTTTGATGTCTTGGTCATGCAAAGCACAGAGTGCTTCAGGAGGCAGAGATATGTGTGTGTGTGTAGGAGAGTATAGATGGATAATGAGTCTATCCATCAGAACCTGAACACACTCTTCCAGAAATATTTACAAATATATGAAAAGTTCAAAGAAAGAATGAAGTAACAAGGAACTAAGTAAAAAATACGACAGCTGACAATGGAAAGAATACAAGCAATGAATTGAAAAGAAATCAAAAACATAAAAATGCTAGGGCTTTTGAATGACTGGATAGGGGAAATTATGGCGGTAGAAGTTTAAAAATACTTCCAAGTTTTATCCATTCGGTCATATTTTTCTCTTTCTCTCTCTCTCCCCTCCCACTCTTTCTTTCTCCTTCTCCCCCTCTCTCTTTTCCTCTCTCCCTGTCTCCTTTCTCTCTCTCTCCCTGTCTCTTTCTTTCTCTTTCTTTAGAACAGGCTTAGAGGTAATATAAGTCACAGGCCCAATGGTCAGACTAGAACTGGTTTTAAATCTTGACTTTATATATTAGCTGTCTGACCTTGGCTTGTGCCTTATTTTCTCTAAACTTCTCATGGAGTGTACAAAAACCTGATGAGGTAATCGACCTAAAATACTGGATACGATTCTTGATCCTTTATAGACAGCATATGGAATCTGGGTCCAATGAAAGATGACTATATTATTAGCTACAATGGGTTTTTAGGTGCTTCAAAATCGGTTTTAAAGCATGCAGAGGCAAGGTACAGATGCTGCCGCGAACATGATCTGCTGATGTGCTGTGGTTTGTGGGTGGTGCACGAGGTTCAGAATCAGACCACTGTGGTTTGCTCTTTAACTTGACCAGTACTGAGGGACAGCTGGGTATAAAACATATTGTTCAAAGTCATAGGGTGGGACGTGTAAGCAATGTCAAAGTAAATTATGTCTAGTTTTCTTTTGTTTGAAGTTGGCTTCTGTGTACACGAAATAATGATTAGGTAGTGAAAACAAGTTAAAGTGCAGGAGCAAAAACATGAGTGAGGAAAGAGGCAACACGGACAATGTAAGGATGAGGGCAACCATATGAAGACATGTACACAAAGTAGAGTGAGGAAGGCTAAAAAATTCTATTAGACCAAGCCTGAGAACACAGGTCCAAGAATGTGGAAAATCCATTAACTCCAGGAAACTCATAGGGACTAAGGACCATAAAAGCTAGTGGGAAAACAAGTATGAAGCTTCAGTAACTGCTACTGATACTGAATGTACTTGATATCCTACCAATCAGAAGAGTCTCTCTTTTGATCTTACCCTGGAGAGAGCCAATCCCAAAACAGATGATCTGAGCAAAAGGCTCCAGGCCAAGATAATCCAAAACATCTTCCAGTTAGCAATATAGAGATCATGTTTCTATGGGAGAGAGAGTCCTCTATCCTACTAGTGCTCTTGGTTGGATTTCTTCTCTCTGCTTTAGTCTTTCTGAGTATTGTCACCAAGCTTTGCCCCTATAATTTTGGGTTGGTTTTAGAACCTGATAGACCCTGAGTACTAGCATTCCATTGATTTCCTGCCTCTGAAAGGAGCACAAGACAAGAAGGTGTAGGAGTATGAGAAGGAAGAAAAAATGAAGCAGGAGGTCAAGTGGAAAGAAGGTACAGGAAGCCTGGACAACTGGGAATCCTGGCCCATATCTCAGGCAGCTCCCTTATTTTAGGTAGCTGTAGAAATCAGCAACTATCTGGGATTTATTTCTGTGGTACATTTGTTGGAGGAATATTGCTCTTATACATACACGCAACTACATGACTGCATGCCTAATTGGATATTGCTTGCTCATTTCTTCCACATGTGGGAAATCAGATTCTTAAGTGGGAGATGTTTCTCAGTCTCAGAAACATAGATACTCTTTTTTTTTTTCTTTTCAAGTTGTATTTCCCCAAGTAGGCATATACATGAAAGACAACTGGGGGAAAAATCAATTGAAAAAAGAATTGCGGAGCAACATTTATTCGAGACTCAAGATATATCAGATGCTTTACAGAGCAGAGAGATAGATGTAGTCCCTTAAGGCTTAACTTGTAAGCATCCGCATTGACTGAGAAGAGCTAATTTACTATTTTCTGAAAGGAAATGGGCTTGAGAAGAATGATTACAAGAAAGTGCTTATCACAACTTCTCACTGAATTTTCGTTTGGGATGTATTTGCAAACTTATCAATCACTTTGTGACATTTTACAGTGTAATAAGATTTTGGTGTTTGCAAAACATCATTTTGAAAATTGACCCAAACTAGAGCTCCCTCTCTCTCTTTTCCTTTGTCAAATCAACATTGGGTTCACATTTATGAATCTTAAAAGACTTATGTATTAGATAAAACTCTTTGATAAAAAGTTACAGAAATAAATTTGAGTTAGAAAAAAAAGAGAATTCTAGTGTAAGACAAAAAAATGTCTTAGGGAACCTCAGGTCAGGAGGTCCAACTGGAGTCCAGGAATGTTTTTGGACCGAATTCCAGAAAGCCTCCAATTATCTCTCCTTTCTGAATTATCTCTCCATACACTTTGCTCTGTCCTTCTTAATCTCAAAAGATCCCCTATTTACATCAGATTGTTTTTCCACAGCTGCTATGTGGACATTATAATTATAATTTCAATTTCCCCAAATAACTGTAGAACAGTTTAAATGCCTATTTTATGTTCTTGCAAAAGAGAATCTATTTTCTATCAGTTCTCCACCCCTTTAGGTCAGAAAGCCAGGCATGGTTTTATCATACATAATATAATCATGGTTTTGAGGGCCCAGATCTGTAGATTTTGGGGGATAAAGTCAAGATTTTTATATGTTTGGTGGATATGCTAAAGTCATCTATCCTACTATACCCAGAATACATCCTAGAATAGAGAAGGCTTCCAATAAGTATTTATTAAATATCTATTGATTATCAAAGCTAGGAGAACATGTTTGGCTAAAGAAAGAAAGTTTTACATTTTGAATGTCATTATATTAAATCTTTTTAAATTTATTGCTGTAACTATGAACTTTAAGCTAAGGTTGCATTAGTTAAAATTATTTGATTAACAGGCTGTTTTTATCCTGTTACAAAATCATTTAAAATTTTTAAAAGTATATGTTTTCATAAGAACAACATTTGATCAACTTAACATATTGGGTTGTCAGAAAAGTCATGACTCACTTTTGAATAGAAAAACAGATAATATACATCATGACTTTTCTGACAACCTAATACATTTACTTATTAATTTAATAGTATTTATTTTCCTTTTCTTTTTTAATTTGACATTCATGCAGACTAAGCCTGGAGTAATTCGCCCAGTACCTGTAAAATCCAAAATAATACTGAAAACAGAGGAAGAAGTCTATGAACCCAACCCTTTCAGTAAATACCTGGAAGATAACAGTGACTTCTTTTCAGAGCAGGTGAGCATGCATCTGAAAAAAATGTGATATTTTGATAAATGATTAGGTAAAATATAGATGCCCCTATCAATATAGTATGTGCAAAAAAAGTTGATTTGATTGAATATTCTTGATAATAAATAAGATCATTTTTACATAAAAATAGGAATTACTAATAATATTAGAATGATATTTTGAAGCATTTCAGTGGTTTTTGTTTGTTTTGTTTTTCCTGAAAAAATTCCTAGCTAGTGTTTTGGTATAATTTGGGGGAACAAGACATTACTCTCTATAAAGACATTATAAAATCTCTGATTGGATGAGTAACATGGGTGTTGCCATTTCATTTCTAAGATCCTGCTTCTCTTTGAAGAGATATAGTAGTTTAGGTTTGGTTTATTAGTTTGAGTTGACCAAAGTCCATTAACATAATAAAAACAATGCAATTCTCTAGATTGAACAGAACTAGTTATAAGTTAGGTGCTAAATTTACTTTAAGACTTTGTTGTTTATTTATATGTAAAAAAATGTATACCATTTCCCCTTTAAATATCCTATATGTTGGAAAAAATATAATGAAAAGTTGTCAGTGATGCTCTATATATTTGGGAAACCATGAAACGACACACATGTGCAATATAAAACTGTATAAAGACATAAAAGAGAAACTTCCTTTTCATTTGTCTTATTAAAAAACAAGAAATAGGCATGGGCTATATATTTTAATTTAATTTATTTGTTTTGAGAGATTTTTACTATAGGGTGTATTCGTTTTGAGAGATTTTTGCTATAGGGTGTGTGCGTTCACCTGAGAGACAGAGAGAAAGTGAGAAAATCACCCCCCCCCCCAAAAAAAAAAACCCCCCCCCCCCCCCCCGCTCCCGAGGATGAACACACCACAGTCCCTTCTCCTCCATTCTCCTTTTAATTTTGGGTGTGTATGGACAAATGCCCTGAGTTGAGTTTCAAGCCATGGGGTTTGAGTCTTGAACTACGTCCGCCTTGTGGGAGTCCAATGCCTTAAGCACCACACCACCTGCTGGCCCAGACTATGTATTTTATATCTTAAAGTTATTAAATAGATAAGCAATGTAAGACATTCAGAGAACTTTATGTATACAACCAGGACATATAAGAACATCATATACTGGGGCCAGACAGTGGTGTAGTGGCTCAGGTGGCTGGATCCCACATGACTGGCTGCACGAGGTGAGTCCTGGACCCACCAGCTCAAAAGACACACTAGGCTTCTCTGTATGTTTACCTAAAACCCTGAGAGGAGAATGGAGGAGATAGGATTGTGATTTGGTCATCCCACCTTGGGGGGTGCTTTCTCATGTGTTCTCTCTCCCTCTGCTGCAAATGCACTTGCCCTATAGCAATTTAAAAAGAAAGAAAGATATTTTTGAAAATACAAGTTACATTTACATTTATGAAGCAAAGAGAATATCCGACCTGCCACATGACTCTGCATAAATTGTTTGATTTCTCCAGGCCCCAGTTTCTTAGTGTGTACAGTGAGGTGTTCAGTTCAAGTAAATTTTAAAGATCCATTAAACTCTAAAATGTAAATTACTTAAATCTTCAGTTAACTTTGATTTGGTCTGAAACCCCTAGATAGTCTTGGAAAGTTTATTACAAATACTCTCTCATGAGTAACTGTAATTTTTATTTATAAAATGGAGTGAAAAACATTTTCTAGTTATTTACGTGTGTTTGTGAGACTGCTATGATTTTGATAAGTTTGAATGTTTAAAAAGGTACTAAAATCTTTAAAAATAATTAAAAGCAATTATTCTCATTTTGTGAAATATAGTATAGTCCTCATATTAAATTAGAGAAATCTTCTTGATATATAGGGTTATCCTCACTAATTCAACACAGGACAGAAATGGAAATTCCTTTTAGGAATGCATATTTCCATCATCAACAAAAACACTTATAAAATAGGTGTTGTCTGCAGGACACTAATATTTTTGTGGCCTAATGTCAGTTTTAAGATAGTATAATTAGATCATTATAAAAAAATGTATAAAAATAAGTTAGTGCTTAAATGAAAAACACATGAATAATTAAAATACACTTCACATATTATCTATATAACCTATATTCTTCAAAGTATAAACTCATGTTATAAAATAAATCTATTCTTTTTTATGAATTTAATTTTAAATTTGTGCATTTTACTTCAAATAAGATTCTTTGAAGACTATAAAGTTAATGCACCTAAAATTTGTCACCATTTACTATTTTATAAAATAATTCCATTTTCAAGTGTAGGAAAGTCTTGTCATTCAAAGGAATAACCATTTGGAGCCAGCTGTGGCCTTGTTTTTATGGCAGCTGGATCCTACATGGCTGATTGCACTATTAAAGTCCTGGACCTTGCCTTAGACCCACACTGCTGGGTTCCCGTGCATGGGCAAAATCCCAAAAGGTTGGAGAAATGGCGGAGAAGAACTTTTGGTGTGACCATCTCCCCGGGGATGATTTCTCAACTCCCACTCCATGTCCCCATAAGTCTTCTGACAAATTAAAAAAAAAATTGATTTATTTATATTGCTTTTACTAAGTATAAAGCAAGTTTAAAACTGTGTATAATACAAGATAAATCTACTCATTTCCAAATATTTTGTTGAAAATTTGACTTCTTTTGCAGATATCAAGATGCCTCAGATATAATCATTGCTAAATTAAATATATATGTATGTGTATATATATATATATACACAAAACTATAGGGCTTGTATGCTTGCTGCTTGCTGGGGGTTGGGGGTGGTGAGAGAGAGAGGAAGTACTTCCTAGGGGGGGATGGCCATATCTCAGTACCTCCCTTCATTCTCCTCTTGGGTATGAGACTTGGGCACACATGCACACATCCAGTGTGTTTTCAGGCCACCAGGTCTGGGACTCAAACATTACACAGCTTTCCAAATGGGAACCAGGCGCCTTAACCTCTACGTCACTGTCAAAGGCAGGCCCATCCACAAGCATAATCTTATTTCTTTTAACCAATATGTTGTTTTGATTCCCACTTGGGTGTGGAAATATTAGGTGACTACAGACCACCAGAAGTCAAAACACTCTAACATTTAAAAATACATTTCAAAGTCCCCTGGTTTTATTCATTGACCTTGCACTGGAAGAAAATGTGATAAAATCTTGGGCCCCTACACACCTGGAAAACTGCGTATACTAGCAATTGCTCCTTTTACATTATGTTCTAATTACCATCTCATGGAGTCCAGAATTGGCAGTAGAGGCAGATATGAAAGACAGTGCACAAGTATCCTAGATCTACTTAAAAAATAAATTGAATAATAACAACCTATACTCTCAGCATTCCTATTTCATCAGAACTCCAATAAAAGAAAGCATACTCAGATTCAGTTCTAGTCATTATTGTGTCCTCTTACACTGCTGCCACAGAATAAATTGAATGGTTCCAAACTCAGTTGATCTCACCCACCCATGTAATGAAAAATTCTTTAGCCAGACAGTTGGGCCAAATTGAAGCAGCTCACATTCACTAATCTGCCTTGTACTGGGACAGTTCCACATGACAGGAGATGTTGGATGGGATTGTTAAGTCAATAAATTTTCCCTAGCAGTTTCACTGCCATAAAATATGATTTCAAAACTCTCTGTTACAAAATGCCAGACACTAAAGATGATGAGACTAGACAGAAATGTATTTACTGTAGCTCAGAAAGGTACAGCTGGGCAGCCTTTCGAACTGATCTCGAACTGAAAATTTGCCTGAGAACAGCTGCTGAGTACTAAAAGGAAAGTTTGAAACCTAATGCATAGTCAAGTCATCGAGACATAATAATCAAGATGGCCTTAGCCAGGAAGCATCATTTCATATTGCATGGCTTTTTTAAAAAATACAAACTCTTCAGATTGAAGCTTATGCTTTTCTGAGATTATCCTCAAATCCGCTATCATATCAATTTGTGATCCTTTTGCATTATTACAAAATATCTTCCTATCCCACCCTCACTGTACGGATTTAAACTATGGTGATGGACTTAAGCACGTCTGTGTTGATAATTGGAGCAGAGTTGGAAGATAATTAACAGGATATATGAGTAATTAATTGGATATATGAGTACGCAGAAAACATAGATGCTCAGAAAATCAATGAATTGATAAGAATGAAGATATTACAATCTTTTTTTAAAAATTTTGTTCTGACTACTTTTTAGTTTGCAAAATAAATTGATCAATTTCTGACCATATAATATATCTAATTAGATTAAGGTGATTTTTTTTTTCGATGAAGATTTTTAATTTAACATAAAATGTAGCTAACCTTAGTTATATAAAGTGTTACATAAAATAATCTCCCTTTTTCTTCATAAATTAATAATTAAGTTATAGTACTAGATACATCCCTACTTTCTTAAAACACTGGAGAAATATATAAAAAAGTTTTTTTGGATAGAATTAAAGGTAGAATATTGTTTCATCTGGCTTTCTAAGAAATACATTCCTTTTTTTATATGAGAAATAATGGTTTCTAGTAAATATGCCTTTAAAATTTTATTTTCTTTCTATTCTGTTTCAGTGGGGGAAAGAACATGTTTTTGTTTGCAAATGAAAAGTCTCCTTCAGAGAATTTTCCCCATACCACCTGACAAAGAACATAGAATTCATATGAGAAATTTTCTTCATTATTGTATTTTTATTCTTTTTTTCCTCTGATTTGTCTTTGACATTGGACTTGTCTCTTTTCCTTACCAAATTCTGACATTCAGTGTTGATGACTATGTGAATATTTTCAGATGTCTATCTAATAATTCACTATTAGAGTCTAAATGTGACCTTCAACTTCTCTTTGTCACCCATGTGTTAATATTGGGCAAATCCCTTTGTCAGGTAAATTGTCAATCCTTTCTTTTTTTCTGGATGACTCTGGCTTTGCCTCAAATTACCACTTTTTCAACATGTTTCCCAATCAGGGTGGCTCATTCTCGACTGTCATCCAAGTATCTTTATCATTGATAAACTTTTCCTAA